TAAATATCATGCTATTAAACAATGAATAGGTTACCAATGAGATCAAGGAAGAAATCAAACACTTCATGGATAAAAAAAGGAAAATGAACAGACAACAACCCAAAATCTATGGAACACAGCTAAAGCAGTCCTGAGAGGGAAGGTCATAGCTTTACAGGCCTATATCAAGAAACAAGAAAAAGCTCTAATGAAACATCTAACACAATAACTAAAAGAACTAGAACGAGAACAGCAAGAATAGCCCCAAGGAAGTAGAAGGAAGGAATTAATAAAGATCAGAACAGCAATTAATGACATAGAGACTAAAGAAACAATACAAAAAAATCAGTGAAACCAAGAGCTGGTTCTTTGAAAAGGTAAATAAGATTGATGCACCTTTAGCCAGACTCACTAAGAAACAAAGAGAGAGGACCCAAATAAATAAAATCAGAAACTAAAGAGGCGATATAACAACCGACCCAACAGAAATACAAAGGATTATAAGAAAATACTATGAGCAATTATATGCCAACAAACTGGACAACATGAGTGAAATGAACAATGCCTAGAAACATACAACCTTCCAAAGCTGAATCAACAAGAGGCAGAAAACTAAATAGGCTGATAAAACTAATGAAATGAAAGCAGTAATCAAAAAACTCCCAGCAAACAAAAGTCCTGGACCAGATGGATCGACAGGCCAGTTTTACCAAACATTCAAAGAAGAATTAACATCTATTCTATTCAAAATATTCCATAAAATTCAAGAGGAGGGAAAACTCCCAAACTTTTTTTATGAGATCAGCATTATCTTAATCCCAAAACCAGCTAAAGACACTGCAAAGAAAGAAAATTATAGGCCAATATTCCTGATGAACATAGATGCTAAAATCCTCAACAAAATATTAGCAAATCAGATCCGGCAATACATTAAAGAGATTATACACCACGACCAAGTGGGATTTATTCCGGGGATGCAAGGTTGGTATAACATCCTCAAATCAATAAATGTAGTACATCACATAAACAAAATGAAGAACAAAAATCATATGATCATATCAATAGATGCAGAAAAAGCATTTGACAAAATCCAGCACCCATTTCTGATTAAAATTCTCAGCAAAATGGGAACAGAGGGATCATACCTCAACATAATAAAGGCCATAAATGACAAACCTACAGCCAACATCATACTCAATGGGCAAAAACTAAAAACCATTTCCCTTAAAAACAGGAACAAGACAGGGATGTCCACTTTCACCACTCTTATTCAACATAGTACTGGAAGTCCTTGCCATAGTCATCAGACAGGAAGAAAACATAAAAGGTATCCAAATTGGAAAGGAGAAAGTAAAACTGTCATTATTTGCAGATGACATGATATTGTACATAGAAAACCCTAAAGACTCCATCAAAGTAGTTCTAGATTTGATAAATTTGGCAAGGTAGTTGGATACAAAATTAACATCCAGAAATCAGTACCATTCTTATACACCAACAATAAACTTTCAGAAAGAGAAACTAAAAAAAAATACTTTTACCATTACAACTAAAAAATAAGATACCTAGGAATAAACTTAACCAAGGATGTGAAAGACCTATACTTGGAAAACTCCAGGTCACTGAAAAAAGAAATAGAGGAAGATATAAACAAGTGGAAGAATATACCATGCTCATGGATTAGAAGAATCAATATCATTAAAATGTCCATACTATCCAAAGCAATTTATAAATTCAATGCAATTCCTATTAAAATACCAACAGCATATTTCACAGATCTAGAACAAACATTTCGAAATTTATATGGAACCAAAAAAGACCCCGAATAGCTGCAGCCATATTGAGAAAGAAGAACAGCGTGGGAGGGATCACTTTACCAGATATCAAACTGTACTACAAGGCCATTGTAATCAAGACAGCCTGGTATTGGTACAACAACAGGCATATAGACAAGTGGAACAGAACAGAGACCCCAGAAATACACCCACACAATTATGGTCAGTTAATAACTGACAAAGGAGGCAAGAACATACAATGGAGAATAGACAGCCTCATCAATAAATGGTGCTGGGAAAAAGGGACAGTTACATGCAAAAAAATGAAACTAGACCACCAACTTTCACCATACACAAAAATAAACTTAAAATGGACAAAAGACTTAAATATAAGTCACAAAACTGTAAAAATCCTGGAATAAAACATAGGCAGTAAAGTCACAGACATCCCATATAGTGCAATTTTCACTGATACATCTCCTAGGGCAAGGGAAACAAAAGAAAAAATAAACATATGGGACTATATCAAACTAAAAAGCTTCTGCACAGCAAAAGAAAACAGCCACAAAATACAAAGGAACCCCACGGTCTGGGAAAACATATTTGCCAATGATACATCTGATAAAGGGCTAATTTCCAAAGTGTACAAAGAACTCATATTACTCAGCAAGAGAAAGATAAACAATACAGTTTAAAAATGGGCAAAGGACCTGAATAGACACTTCTCCAAAGAGGACATACGGATGGCCAAGAGACATAAGAGAAAATGGTCAACATCGCTAATCATCAGGGAGATGCAAATTGAAACCACAATGAGGTATCACTTCACACCTGTCAGAATGGCCACCATCAACAAATCAACAAATGACATGTGCTGGCGAGGATGTGGAGAAAGAGAAACCCTGGTACACTCTTGGTGGGAATGCAGACTGGTGCAACCACTATGGAAAACAGTATGGAGGTTCCTCAAAAAATTAAAAATGGAGCTGCCGTTTGACCCAGTGATCCCACTTCTAGGAATATACGGTAAGAATCCTGAAACACTAATCAGAAGGAATATAAGCACCCGTATGTTCATAGCAGCACAATTTACAATAGCTAAGAACTGGAAACAGCCCAAATGCCCATCAATAGATGAGTGTATAAAAAAGCTGTGGGACATTTACACCATGGAACACTACACAGCTGTAAAGAAGAAGGACTCGTACCCTTTGGGACAGTATGGATGGACCTGGAGAATATTATGCTAAGCAAAATAAGCCAGGCAGAGAAAGACAAACATCACATGATCTCGCTTATACGTTGAATCTAAAGAACTTAATAAACTGATGAACAGGATAGATTCAATGACATGGAAGCACAGATGAGACTGACGAATATCAGGGGATGGAGGAGGGTGGGTGAGTGGAGGGGGAGAGAGTAACCAAAGAAATTATATGCATATATGCACAACCCAAGGACACGGACAATGGTGGGGAGAGGGACTGTGGAGGGGGGTGGGAAGGGGTGAAATGGGTCATTGGGGAGAAAAAGGGACATCTGTAATATTTTAAACAAAAATAAACACACACACACAGACAAAAAGTAATCTACACAGTTGATCTGAAGGCCAGTAAATGACAGGAGTAAGGTGGGGGAGAAGAAATCAAATAGAGTGGACCTCCAACAAACGAGGAAAGGAAAGTTATAATAGTAAGAATTAAGGAAACATCAATTCGACTCTGGTCTCAAGAAACAATCTGAGAAAACAGTTCTGGGCAGCAGAGAAAATGTCCTAAGTAAGGAACCTGACTTAAAGTTACTCAAGGAAGTGGAACTTAAAGAGCCAAGGGTAAAGATCTTAAAAGCCTGACAGTTGTTTACATCAATTCCAAATGTCACACAGTGAAAGGACCTGAGAGATAGGGGAGAACTAGAGAAATGGATCCAAAAAAAAAAAAATTCTGAGTATTAGAAGGATGGAGCATGCATGGCTGGGAGGAGGGGAGGACTGATGCTTTGAGCATTGGTTGCAGATAAGAGAAAAATAACTGGATGGTCCATTAAAGGAGGATAGGAACGGGTCTACTGATGAGACCTGACTATCTTGGCAGGGTGATGTTCATCCCAAAGCTCCAGGCTCTACAAGGTGGTCCGCCTACCCAGTCTTTCTTCCTCAGTCCCATGCTCCTAACTGCTACTGCTGCTAGAGCCTCCTCATTGTCCCATTAGCTTAAGCCCATTTCTACTTCATGCAATTACTCATTCTGGTTCCCTAAACTACCTCCAGGCCAGGGGTCAGCAAACTATGACCCAACACAGAGCCAGTATTTTGGCAAAGCTGAAAATACTTAGTATGTGGCCCTTTACAGAAAAGGCTGGCTGACCCCTCATCTAAATCATAAAATCCTACATATCCAGATCTACAATGAAAGTTTTAATTCAGTAATTCAGTTCCTTGAAATAGTTGCAAGAGTATTATTTAACAGAAGGAAACAGTTATATCTAAGAAGTGTTTTTAAATCATTATTTTTAATATAAAAAATGACAATTGAATATCCAGCAGCAGAGGAAATCCATGCCCTCTGCGAGAAGCCTTTCCTTACTACCCCAGTTCTCTAGCTCTCTAGAAGCTACACAATTGTCACACAAGTTAGCACTTAATTGTATACTCTCCTTTTAGAAAAGAACACTTATTATAGTTTTCTGATTATTAAAGTTGTATTTTCATCACAGAATATTTGGAAAATATAGAAAAGTATAAAGAAGAAAACTGAAATTACGCATCTTTCCCCCTTACATAGAAAACTTGACATTTTGGTGAATTCCTTTTCTTTCTTCATTAGTAAGTATAGAGATAAAAGTAATATATATTACAAAGTAGTGATCATACAGATATTTCCTTGGATTGGTATACATGAATATTTATAGCAAATTCTCTCCTACTGGGTAACTAAGAAATTTTCAGTTTTTCACTACTGTAAATAATAATTCATCATACAAGTGTCTGATTATTTCCTTGAAAAAGGTAAATACATCTTGTTTTTCTTTTCTCTGATCAGCTCAGTGTGTGGTAGTCTAATCTCTCAATCCAGTATTAGCTCCTAGAAGTCAGGTTATAAAATATATTACTAGATAAGCAAAGATGAAGTTAAAAAAATCTATTAGTATCATCAAAAAGAGTTCTGTGGTAATTTTACAATGCTACTTGCTCTTTAACTGTAAATTGGAATCTGATAATACATTTGAGACAATAAATATACTTACAACACTAAAAAGAAAAATAGGTTCACAATTATCTCTAAATGGCTGCAAAGTCACAATGCTGTCAGCTTCAGCCTGGAAAAAATATATTAATACTTCACATGATAATATAAGAAACTATATCCAAGTCATTAGATACACTATGTATAAAAAACACAAATACATATATAATTTTTATTTTTATATTTACTCAACATTCTCTTAGTATGTTATAGTTGTTTTAAGGATCAAGTTGCAAACACCAGAAAGTCAGGCCCTGCATCATTTGACCTCAACCTGACTTCCTGCTGTTCACCTGTATGTACCCCTGTCCAAAAAAAAAGACTGAAAGAGGCTGAAAGAAAGCAGTCTATAATGATAAAGATGATATTAAAAGTAATTAGGTATCATCATTACAATGTTTATATCATAATAAAGCACTAACAAGTAAAGCATTTAATATTATAAAAGAACTACAATAAATAATATTTACTGAATTTTTATATGTATAGGTACAATGCTAGTACAAGTCTTCAAGTCTTTTAAAAGGGAACATAACAGAAAAAAAATTATACTGACCATTCAGCTTAGGGTGATTTCAATAGGCAATCAATTTCATAGGTCGTAATTTTGGATTTAAATTTACTAGTTCAGAAAGGTTCCCTTTCCTTGGCTAACTGCAGAAAGCAAAATATCCGGCAGAGGGCGCCCTTCCATTGCTTACAATGGGGGTTTGGAAGCTATGAATTCATTTTTTTACCCTTTAGGAGGAGGACAGATATTAAAAATAGCATCAATCTATATGAATATACAACTGTTAAGTGCTCTCAAACATAACAGAAGAGAAACTACTTAAGGACAACGCACTGATTTTTTTCGTTAAGCTATTATTGTAAATAGGACATATTTTGGAAAGACTACTAGCACTTCCCAGTAGGATAGACAGTCACGGAACTGATGCGTCGTGGAGTAGGCTGGGGAGTACCCCTGGGAGGACGGTCATAAACCCCAGCCCTGTATCCTCACACAGCTCTGAGCTGTGCTGAGATAGGAGTCTAACAACATATATGGTCTAATTTTCCTTCCACATCCACTCAGCTGCCTCCATCAAAATCCCCACCCCACACACATCCCAGGTTTGGTCCTACTCATACTCAACTACTCAACAAACAAGGAGGATGTAATGACTCTGGACCACCTGGAAACACAGCATCAAGTTACACTATCTCATTGCCTAAGGACTTCTCTTGCTGTCCTCTGCTCAAGTTTCCTTCCAGCTAGCCTGGGTGAGCAGCGGGGGCTGCCTTCTTGTCAGCCTCTCCCCATTGACCCCCAATTTCCTTTTTAACGCTGGAATTTCCTGATTGTCTCTAGCCCATGAACTTGCACTCCTACCACAAACACAACTGCCAGGATTCATAAGAATTTTCTGATGGTGCTTGATTGTCTGTGATCCATTTGCCAGCTGTTAGATTTTTCTGATACTGTTTTTTAACTTATATATACCAACCCATTGTCTATTGCATGTGGCAATCCCCTTTAGGCTCCATCATTCTCTGTCCTCTGAAATTAGGTTTTCCTCCTTGCCAAGGATCAAATATAGAACCACATTCCAACCTCGTTCAGGTGGTTCTGACCCTTCACAGTAAAGCAGGTTGTTATGGAATGCTGCCTTTTAAAACACTACAGGCCCACCTTGGCCAGTGTGGCTCAGTGGGTTGGAGCATCATCCTGTGCACTGAAGGGTCATGGGTTCGATTCCCAGTCAGGGCACATATCCAGGTTGCTGGTTCCATCCCTGGTTAGGGTGCATGCGGGAGGAAATCAATCGATATTTCTCTCTCTCCCCCCTTTCTCTCTCTAAAATCAAATTTTTTAAAAAAGAATATTATCCTTAAAAAACAAAATACTACAGGGCTCTTATTTAAGAAAGCAATGTCAAGTTCTAGATAAAATATTTAACAATTGTGTATAGCCACCTACTCTATCTCAATTTTTTTTACTCTTTTTTTCTTTTTTGTTGGTTCTTTGCAGCCTACTATCTTGAAGATAAAAAAATGAGGTGAGTTTCTAAGCTTTAGGCTGCTTATTTATAACATTGAACTAAGAAAAGAAAATCCTATAAACAATGTGTTTGCAAAAGTGGATGGACAAACACAAGTTAAGATCAGTAATCAATCTCATCCCAAGGTGTGGGTTGGGAGGGGTCATGGAAGGCCTGAAAACATGCAATGTGTTAAGGTTTCATGTTTGCATCAGGGATTATGCATTTTAGGAATAAGGGGTAAAGCTATGTAATTAGTTGTCTGCTTCTGCATCTTAGGTCTGGCAGGTTTGGACATGTGTCTGTCCAATAGAAACAGAATGTGAGCCACACTTATACTTTTAAATTTTCTAGTAGCCACTTAAAAAGTAAAAAGAAACAGGTAAAACTAATGTTAGAATATATTTAATGATACAACTTTCTTATACAATAATATATCCAAAAAATTATCATTTTAACATGTGATCAATGTAAACATTATTGAGATATTTCAAATTCTTTTCTTCATACTAAGTCTTCAAAATCTATTGTGTATTTTAAATTTAGGGTACACCTCAACTTATGGGCTAAATTTTAAATCATAAATAATTGGTTTCTAATTTGATTTCATAAAATTTACAGTTAAAAAAATAGAATCACACACCCAAGTTTTTCCAAACAACTTTAAAAGTTTTACAATAACTGAATTGAGTATAGTTTTCAAACTTAAATAAGTTAATTAAAAATAAAAATTCAGTTCCTCAGTCACGCTAGCCACATTTCAGTGCTCAAAAGACACCATATTAGATAACAACACTCTAAGTAGCTAATAACTTAATGTGGATAGATTAAATAATACGATAAGCTCTAATGAGTTTGGCTGTAATATTTTAATCCCTTGTCACCTTTGGGTGGCAAATAAATGAGGGAAATCACTACCATTGGAAAATTGCTACCTGGTAAATGTCCAGCGTCCTTCCCAAAGCTACCCAGTAAACTGTACTAGTAGCCCTTAGTCTAAAAGACACACTGCATAAGTTCATGTGAAAAGAAACAGATCAATAGACAAATATCCATTTTTATACTTTTCTAAAGTTCATAACCATGGTCAATAACCTCATGGTTATAGGAATGGTATAAAAATCATGTTTGTTCTCAGATCAGGTAGAACTAAACATATGATAAAACTACCAAGTAAACACTGCCCATTTTGACAAGTTGCCAGGTGGTTTAAATTAAGACAATACTTAAAGAGAGTAACACTTGCAGTAACAAGAAAACAATAGTTTAATGGAAATTAAATCCTTACTACAACAAAATGCAGAATTTCATCTTCGTTCAGCTCATTTTTCAATTTTCTGAATAAAGTTTGCATTGCTTTGCAAGGTCCACACCAGGCTTGGTAAACATCGATCACTAGGAGATGATGATATTTATGAAAGAACAGAGTCAAAGATTCTGAAGCAGCAGCTTACCCCTGTGCTGGGGCAGGGGCAAGGGCAAAGACATAGCAGGACTTTATGCTGGAAGTAGGGATCCCCTGGGTGCCATGAGATGCCCTGGGCCAAACTCCAGGTGACTGCACACGAGGAAGCCCCAGTACCTGTTAGGCCTTTGTTCTGCAGCATCTCATCCCATAGGCTTTGATTATTGATGACTGCCTGCAAAAAGGAAGGTGCTGTAAAAGGTCTTCAAGTGCCAATGAACCGAGTAAGGAATTGTTCATACATCATGCCCACCTGTAACTGGATTTCTCGCTTTTTGCCTGCCATTTATCCACTGTCACATGAAAAATGGGGGGAAAATAGAAAACATGTCAGAGAAATTTAAATAATGTCCTGTTTATACATTCAAGCAGCATCTTAATGTACCGTACAAATTTTCCCTCAGTACTGGCTTATGTACTTTCCCCCTTCTCTACAGAGAGAGGCTCCAATGTCCCTGAAGGACTCTTGGTACTGGGCTCTGCTAAATGCTTACTTACAGCAACCAAACTTCTTACTCTCCCAAGAACCCTGAAGCAAGGTAAGAATGATAGGAGTTAGTTTCTTAAAAACAGTTGTTTGTTTTCCTGAAGTATTATGGAGTGTTCTCTATTTTCATTCCCACATGTTATCCGTGAACATGCTGGAGGATCTTTCTTGAGTCCCTCTCCAAGGAGATTTAATTTTTAGAACAAGGCCACGAGTTGTATGGGACACAACATAGACTTTCTACAGGGATTAAATCAGTGAGGCCCAAATACCCTATTCAGTGGCGTTAGGGACCTCGTGAGTGTGGTCAGACACTCGTGCGAAACAAAGGAGTGACCTCGAACAGACTACATCCTAGCAAATCGTGCTGCACTCTCCAACAAGTCGTATGCAAACAGAGTCTCCTTTAAGCTATACTGGGACATTTAAAGAACAAAAAGGAACAAACCCCGGGGTCTAAATTGTGGCCTTTGTGGAATGAGCTCCACCAAGTCCTAGTACCTGGCGCGGACGGCGCGGGCCCGCTGCTGCTGTGCTTTCGGAGGGCGCCCATCGGGAGAGCCCGGGAAGCGGTAGGGCCGCAACGTCCACTACCAGCCTTTGCGCCGCCCACGAGCCCTGGCACCCCCACCCCCAGCCTTCCCGCGCGCGTGCTCAGGCCTGGCCACGGTTATGTGCGTTTGGCCAGGAAAACTGTCCCGCTCCTGTGCCCCTACCCTGAAGGGACGACAAAGGCCTGTCTTCCCCGCCTCCCTCAGCTACCTCCTCCCTGTCTCAGTCCCCCCATGCAAAGCAATAGGTGGAATTAGGTTTCTAAACATCACTTTTATGGATTGCAAAAAGCTTAAGTGTTGAGGCTTTGAAACATAAACTTGATAGACTTTTATTTGGGTCTTCCTAGAATTGACTTCAAGGGTAAATCTGAAAATGTTATAAGAAAATGTATTTATATTTTATTAGAGCAGAATGTACATTATAAATGCCAAGTAACCTAGAAGAGATGTTACTCTAGAAGGGGTCTAATAGTTTGTTTTGCTCCTTGCATATATATATTTGACATTGTCTTTCAAGATTTGTGACTTGTTAAAAGTGTTCTTTCCTACATTGACTTGCCATTTTCTTCCCGCCCCCACCCCTCACCCCCCAGCACAGCACTATCTAAAGTATTTATTTTCTTGGGTCATAGATTTATTACCACCTGTTTCATTTCTGTATTCACTGGACCTCTCAATATATATGAAGACCCAGAGAAGAGGAACTGATCTTTTTCCAGATTTACTGAATTGTTTTTTGTGTTTTTTTTGTTTGCCATTTCTCATGTGTTGAGTCCATCTAATTTATTTCAGTTATTTTATCTTCTAACTTTAGAATGCCCTTTTTTAATTGTTTGCATTTTTCTGTCGAGATTTCCTATCTGATACATTCATTGATGTCATATTTTCATTAATTTTAAAATGTTCTTTCCTTTCTTTGAACATATCTTTTATACAGCTACCTTGAAATCTTTGCTAAATATAACATTCGGGACCACTCAGGGTTAATTTATATTAATTGCCCTTTTCCTTCCTGAGCAAAGGCTATGCATTTCTGTTTCTTTGCAAATCTGGTAAGTTTTCGTCAAAAACTGGGCGTTATTGATAATAATGTCAGCCTTGTAAAGACTCTGACTGCATTTCACTGTATTATTTTAAACACTGCTGTTTAATTGTTCTAGTAGGCCCCATCATGTGCAGCATTTAATAAAAATATAAGCTTTATCCTATAAAGGTACAGGCGAGTTGAAAGTCAATGGTGGAAAAGATATATTGTAAACATTAAGCACAGAAAGTTGACATGATTATATCAATATCAGACAAAGTGACCTCAATACAAGAATATTTTCCCAGATAGACATTTCCTGATGATAAAAAGTTTCATCAGGAGAACAAATATTTTTAAATGTTTATACTTAACAAAGAGCTTCAAATACATGGAGCAAAAAGATTGCTTGAATTAAATGAAAGAATAGACACATCCACAATCATAATTAGAGATTCCAGTGTCCCTTTGCTGATAACTGATAGGATAAGTATACACAAATCATTTAGATTATTGAAGATCTGAACAACCCTATCAATCATGTTGACCTAATTGATATGTACTGACAACTGCAGATTACAGCATCTCTCAAGTGCACTTGGAATATTTTCTACAATGAACCATAAGGTATGTAATTTTAAAAATCAAAACATTTCAAAAATTGGAATCTTTCAGCATATTTTCTCTAATCATAATAGGAATAAACTATTATGTAGGCTTTTTCACCATTAAAATCATGTTGATTATGGAAATATTTCTAAATATAAATTTTCATATAGTTCTGTCTTCTTACCGTGAATTGTTTTTAAAAGTAGTAACTTTCTCACTATTTTAAAATATCATTCTAATCTTGGAGGGATGGATAATGATGATTTTTTCCCCAAAAAATATCTGTTAGATAGCAAAATGCTGATAAGTACATGTCCACAAATTTAAAACTTTTTTTTCCAAAATAAAAATGAACTTTCCCAGAAATAACCAGTAAAAGTCTGTGTGGAACAAAGCATTCTCATAGTTACTCTCCATTCCACAAGAAACATTGCCAAGATTCTGTGCTAAGATCATAGTGTTTTGAGGTTTCGTTTTGTGTGGGTTTTTTGTTTTTCCCTCCATGAAATTAACAGCTTGGATGTAATATGGCATATGAATAGAATCGGTTAATCTCAGCTGAACTGGATTGATGACATATTTATTTCCCAAGCTACTTGGAGCACCACAGTGACTCTTGGCTGACACTATGGAATATATTAAGTAATATAAATGATAATCTGTAGCCATTGGTCCATGAGTTGTTTTTGAATAGACATATGAGCCTATAGTCAGCATTGTTTAAAAATAATAATTAGATTTATAATTTGTACCACCTGATTTTGCTGGAGCTGGAGGGTGAAAGGTAAAGGTCCACACACAGCTGGGATGTGCCTATGTGTGACTACCTTCCTATAAGAAACAACCAACAGCCCTAGAGTTTCTTGTGGTGGTTGGAGACCTAGAGACACAGCATGTCCTGTGTGACCCTGAAATGAGAGAAAGAATAAGTAATTGAGGACACTACTGCTGATGAATGCATAAGCATTAAAAAAGCATAGTACCTTTCTAATTTTTCAGATAAGAAACATAATTAGAAATATCTGCCCTCTCCCCCCAAAAAAGAAATACTTTTTTTCCCTGTAACCTCACAGATTATTTTGCACACCTCAGGGCAGGTGTGCATAACTCGTTGGAGACTACTGGATATAAGCTGGAGGTATCCAGAAAATATCTAAATAGGAAATAAAGATTTGCATACAATCGGCATACTAAGGACACAGCAATAAGAGGAGATGACCAAGGGAAGTGTGTCATTTGAGAAAGTGAACACTGTAAGGACAGGAAAAAGGCTTCTCTTTTTCTTTGCTGTGGCCTTCCACAATTTATGAGAAGCACCTGGTAAATAAACTCCAACATTGTTGGCTTATCTGTTGTTCAGACTGCAAGATAAGCTACTCTCAATGCTACAATCTTGCATCCCCCTCCTCCCTGCTGTTTTCACAACCCAGGGATAATTCACACCAAGGAGTCTCTAGTTAATAGAAAGGTCCCTCTCCCTCTCCCCTTCAAATAAGCCTCTTTTGCACTCTTCTTAACTTTTGCTCTGAGCTTGTTTTACAGGCTTGGGGAAAATACTGATAAGACACCTCCCTAGGACATCTGACCAACTGTCTCCTGGAAAGCAAACAAACTGTAACTTTTCAAGACAGCCCTTGGCTTTTGCTCAAATTCAACCCCTAAACCCCCTCCCTTCCTTGTCCCTTAGCAACAGCCACAGCTTAAAAAGGGAAGCTGCTGTTTGTTTCTTGCCCTGTATTGACTAGCCATACTTGGCCCTTTCCCCTTGTGGAAAGTAAAATAAACTTCCTCTCTGCATCTCTTCTTTTAGTTGTGAATTCTTTCATAATCCACATCACTGGCCAAACCCTAACAAGCACCCAAGAGAGTACAGGAGAAACATCAACATTTCAGAACAGATAAAGAGAAGCTCATGAAGGAAAATGAGAAGGAATAAGCCAACTAGCTAAGAGAGAAACCAAGAGAGGGTGATATCATAAAAGTCAAAGGAACAGTAATCAATATTGCCAGTGCTATGAAGTGGTCAAATAAACAAGAAATGGTCAAATAAATGCTGCTCATGTGGCCTGAACAACGAAATATCAGTGTTGAGGTCATGAGAGTATTTTCAGTGGAGTGGTCTAGAGAAAGTCACTTGAGGAAAGAATCTTAAATCAAGAAGTGAAAGCAAAGAGAATCTGGAAACTATAGGGTAAAGAAATGTAGAAAGAGAAGGGACAGCTGCCAAGGGAATTTGGGTGGTGGAGAGCTGGTCTTACTTTTTTCAATAAGGTGGAAGATGTTTGACTATAAAAATGCTGATTGTTACAAATCAAGAGATCAGATGTTGAAGAAATGGTAGCCCTAGAGGAGATGGGAGGGCACAGGTGGAGGGAACAGCCTCAGATAAGAGTAGAGGTGTCTTCCAGCATGACTGGAGGAAAAATTACAATGTCTTTCTCTATCCTATTTTCCTCCATTTTTTTTATTTAAACATATTATGCTTCCCAGCCAGCATGGCTCAGTGGTTGAGTATCAGTCTGTGAACCAGGAGGTCATGGTTCGATTCCGAGTCAGGGTACATGACTGGGTTGCAGGCTTGATCCCCAGTAGGGGGCTTGCAGGAGACAGCTCAATGACTCATCACTGGTGTTTCTATTTCTCTCCCTCTCCCTTCCTCTCTCTCCAAAATTAACAAAAACATATTTTAATATATATATATATATTATGCTTTCAGTGACTTTACTAACATCTTTATGCAAATTATTTCTATTACAAGTATCTTAGAGGTTCCATGTAATCCAAAAATATTACCATTTAAAAGTCTACATCCATAAATGATGTTTTAATCCAGTCTATCCATAATCACAACTATTTAAAAATGTATATAAAATGCAAGAAAAAATGAAAAAAGATTAAAGCATTCAGTCTGGAGATAGGGAAGGGCCATCATGAAATTCTGACACATGAGCCTTTTTAAAAGACAAATAGTAGTAAGTAATTGCTCCTCCTGCTCTCCATAAAGGATCAGAGGCAAGAACAAAAGCTAAGGTAGAACTGACCATGGAGCATAGAGAAAGGCAGTTGAGGATAAAAGGAGGACAAGGGAGAAAGGTGATTCCAAGTTGGAGAAAACTGTATGCGCAAAGTCATAGAGGGATGAAAGAGCCTGACATATAGAGTAAACTGCAAATGTGATGCTCTCCTGAAATAAAGGATCTGTGTGGGGGTCACAATGAGTTTGGCAATGCCAGGTGGGCCTGGAGCACAGAAGTTCCCATAAGTGTGCTAATAGATTGGGCTTTATATGACAACAGTGTGAAGCATCTCAAAGTTCAAAGTGGGAAGATTTACAACAGATGGGTGACACATAAAGGACTCAGTTTTAGAAAAACCACAGTGACATCAGTGTGGCAATTGAAGAAAATATGGTTGGGGATGTGAAATAAGGGATATTGAGACAGTTAGAGGCCTGTCGCAGCAACTTAGGAGAGCTAGCCTAAGGAGCTAAGTGAAGGCAAACACCATAGGTAAAGAGCGAAGGAGACAACTTTTGAGATATTTGGGGGTTGGTATCAATAGGACTTGGGGAGTGACATTTTGTAGGGGTGAGGAAGAAGAAACCACAGAAAACTCCTAAGTTTCAGGTGTAGGTGAGTGAATGATGCCTTTCACATGAATGAGGGATGTGAACGGAGGATCAAACATGGAGGGAAGCTCATGGTTCAGGTTCGTAGAATAATGTGGAAGGAGGAGATTCATTATCACTACTGACAATTAAATTAGGATTATTATGATACACAGCATTGATGAATCCCCAGGGAACAAGAGTAGGGCAAAAGTCCATCTGAACAATAGCATTAGGCTTAAGTAATAGCATGTTTAAGATCAACGTTGTGCGTGTGATCAGTATTTAGTGAATAACAAAGATTATTACATTATAGCCTTTTTTATCTATCTTTCCCCCTGCTCCAACACATTCACACATGTTCTGTGAAATCTCCATGAGACAATTCTGTGTGTAGTGGTGGCCTTTGTGACCTTGGACAAGTTATTTTACCTCTCTGTACTCCAGTGTCTTTACTGGAGATAATAATGGAACTACTTAATCTCTTCTGTGAGGATTCAATGATTTAAACTATAGTGGAGGGGAAGCAGCAAAGTGGACCCGCTCCCAGCCACGGACTCAATTTCCTCCTAAAATCCTATGTAACCAGCTTGGAAAAACCAGAGAAACATACCTGAGTGGACGGAGTGCGAGTGGGGAACACTGAAGAAACATCATGGAGTCCGGTAAGAGAAGGGGGTGTTGGAAGGGGGAGTCCCCCCTGAAGCCTGTGCTGGGCTCTGAGCCCGGAGGCTTGGAGGCTGCAAAGCTCCCTCCCCTTGGGAGTGCGGACCAGCCTCCAAAAGTGGGGATCCCACACCCGGAGAGGACGAGAGGGTAAGGAGCGCCCCACACACAGGGCAGAGGGAACCACAGGAGCGGTGAGTCCGGAGGGATCAGCGCCTTCCTAGAAAACAAAGCTTCTAGTGGCGGCTGCGACCGGCATCTAGTGCTCAGAGTGCCGGCCATAGGAAGGGCTGCCTCAAAGTGTGTGGCACCAGAGTGGTAAGGGACCAGAGGACTGTGCTGAGCAGCCGCACACGGGGACCCTCTGCCTCCCTGTGGGGCATCATGTTGAACCCCAGAAAGCACTGAATCTGTGTGGTGTGGGAGAGGGGAGGAGCCCTCCTGCCCTGAGCTCCTGGTTTGGAGAGTCTGGGATCTGTGACCAGCCCTGAGGGGCGCTGTGGTGGCGCATGAAGCCGCTCCAGCTTTGCTGAGACCAGCGGTGCAGGGAGCTGCATGGAGCTGACTTTGCATCCCCTCCCGCTGGGGGCCTTGGTGCACGGGTGGCAGGACCTTGCAGGGTGGACTTTCTGCCTGTGTGTTGCTTTGTGCATTTGTGAGTTTGATCACGGAACTGGCTCCCACCTTCTCAGCATGCACTGCACAGACATAGCAGTGGAGGCTGGGATTGGCATCTGCACTGTAGACAGTCTGAGGGGCGGGCCTGGTGCAACCAGCCAACCAGAGCAGAGCAGGGAGGGGCAGAGCCTGCCGGCCTCTCCTGCAGCCAGGAGCACTGCCCCCAACAAGAAAGGGGCGGGTCCAGCTCACTGAAGCCCCAGTCACACCCGCAGGGCACAGTCCTGAGGAGGAAGGGAGAACAGCTCACAGGAGGACATTATAAGAATAAGACTCTCAGGGACTAATGTTTGGGAACTGGAGGAAAAGCTGAAAACACCTGCTGGGGGCTGGGCAGGCAAAGGGCTCACCAGAATGTGTTTTTAATCGAACCCATTGAGCCCAGGCTGCTGAAATGACCCATAAGAAAAAGCAACAGGCTGAAATCAATCTGAAGCTGCAGCAGGACAGAGCATGGGGAACTAGAATCAGAGGACAATGTAGGGACTGAGGAAATGGTGGTGGAGCAGAGACTGGCTTCCACAGAGTGAGTGCCTGAAAGTGAAACCTCTAAGGGGAGTGATACCCTGAGCTACACTAGCCACCCTGCACCCTAAAGACTCTACAGAAGACTCTGGAGTAACACCAGGCAACTACAAGGTTGAAAAATAGTTGACAAGAGGGGGTGGTCCACGGAGAGCCTCAGATCAACCATCTACCTGAGGACTCCAGAGCCAAACCTAGATGGTTCCTCACATTGGGTGATACACAAGTACCTCCCAAGAGAACTAAATCAGCACACAAAACAATGACCCTCAGGCAACATAAGTTGCCCAGAAGAAACTCACCTGATTGACTATCTTTTTTTCTTCTGTTTTTTTATTTTGTTTTGGTTTGGTTGTGTGTGTTTTTGTTTTTGTTTTTTTGTTGTTTTTTGTTTGTGTGTTTGTTTGTTTTTTCTCTTTTTTCCTTAGGAAGAAGAGAAAGGGTAGAAAATTTGTTTTTCTTTTTTAAATTTTATAATAATTAAAAAAAATTTTTTTAAACATTTTTTAACTAAATTTTTTTCTCTTTTTTATAAAAGAACTGTCTTGCTTAGCTTGTTTTTAGTTTTGTTTTGGTTATTTGCTTTGTTTTGTTTTATCCTTGCTTCTACTATCAAGACTTTCTTGATATCCCAGCTTAATGACTGGGACTTTATCATTATAAACAAGTTTACTGTTTTCCTCTGTAGTTTCCACCAGGGAAACAAAGACCTTAAATGACTCACTAGACCTAATGGATTTAATTCACATTTACACAACATTTCACCCCAAAGAAGCAGAATACACATTCTTCTCAAGTGTATATGGCACATTCTCAAAAATAGACCACATGTTAGGGCACAAGGCAAGTCTCTACAAATATAAGAAAACTGAAGTCATATCAAGCATCTTCTTGGATCACAATGCCATGAAACTAGAAATCAACCACTATAAAAAAACTCAAAAATATTCAAACACATGGAAGCTAAATAGCATGTTATTAAACAATGAGTGGGTTACCAATGATATCAAGGAAGAAATCAAACACTTCATGGACAAAAAAAGAAAATGAACAGACAACAACCCAAAATCTATGGGACATGGCAAAAGCAGTCCTGAGAGGAAAATTCATAGTATTACNTTACAGGCCTATCTCAAGAAACAAGAAAAAGATCTAATGAACCATCTAACACAACAACTAAAAGAACTAGAATGAGAACAACAAGAAAAGCCCCAAGGCAGTAGAAGGAAGGAAATAATAAAAATCAGAGCAGAGATTAATGGCAGAGAGACTAAAAGAACAATACCAAAAATCAAANGAGATTAATGACATAGAGACTAAAAAAACAATACAAAAAATCAATGAAACCAAGAGCTGGTTCTTTGAAAAGGTAAATAAGATTGATGCACCTTTAGCCAGACTCACTAAGAAACAGAGAGAAGACCCAAATAAATAAAATCAGAAATGAAAGAGATGATATAACAACCGACCCAACAGAAATACAAAGGACTTTAAGAAAATATTATGAGCAACTGTATGCCAACAAACTGGACAATGTGGGGGAAATGGACAAATTCCTAGAAGCATACAACCTTCCAAAGCTGAATCAAGAAGAGGCAGAAAACCTGAATAGGCCGATAACAACTAATGAAATTGAAGCAGTAATAAACAAAACTCCCCGCAAACAAAAATCCTGGACCAGATGGATTTACAGGCAAGTTTTACCAAACATTCAAAGAAGATTTAACAACTCTTCTATTCAAACTATTCCAGAAAACTCAAGAAGAGGGAAAACTCCCAAACTCTTTTTATGAGGCCAGCATCATCCTAATCCCAAAACCAGATAAAGATACTAAAAAGAAAGANACTACAAAGAAAGAAAATTACAGGCCAATATCCCTGATGAGCATAGATGCTAAAATCCCCACTAAAATACTAGCAAACTGGATCCAGCAAGACATTAAAAGATCATACATCATGACCAAGTGGGATTTATTCCGGGGATGCAAGGTTGGTATAACATCCTCAAATCAATAAATGTAGTACATCACATAAACAAAATGAAGAACAAAAATGATTATCATATCAATAGACGCAGAAAAAGCATTCAACAAAATCCAGCAACAATTTCTGATAAAAACTCTCAGCAAAGTGGGAACAGAGGGATCATACCTCAACATAATAAAGGCCATATATGACAGACTTACAGCCAACATCATACTCAATGGNCCAACATCATACTCAATGGGCAAAAACTAAAACCATTTCCATTAGAAACAGGAACAAGACAGGGATGTCCACTTTCACCACTCTTATTCAACATTGTATTGGAAGTCCTTCCCACAGCCATCAGACAGGAAGAAAAC